GGTCCCAGACTGCAAGAGAGATATCCAACTGCCGGCTTAGGCCTGCTCCCCAGGCAGTCAGACATCCCTCAAGGGATCCCGGACTGTGAGAGGGTGCAGACTGGGCTGAGGAACCCCTTGCTCCAGTGCATGAAATTTCATGCACCAGGCCTCTGGTTGAAGATAAAAACCCTAACTGATTTGGCTCAATGGATAAAGTGTAGGCCTGCAGACTGAAGGATCCTGGGTTCGATTCTGGTCAAGGGCACATATATTGGCTGTAGGCTCCTCCCCGGCCTAAATCCTGGTCAGGGCCTATGCAGGAGGCAGCCTATTGATGTGCTTCTCCCACATTCTTGTTTCTGTCTTTCCCTCTCTTCCACTTTCCATAAACAGTCAATGGAAAAATATCCATGGGTGTGCATTAACAAAACAAAACAATAATTGACTATATTATATACAAAGAGAAGTAATTTTCACCCTGGCAGGTGTTGCCCTTTGGTTGGGTGTTACCCATGCACTGGAAGGTTACTGGTTTAGTTCCTGGTCAGGGCACATGCTCAGATTACAGGCTTGATTCTTGATAGGAGAAATGCAGGAGGCAGCCAATTGATGTTTCACTCTCACATTGATGTTTCTCTCTCTCCCATTCTCTCTAAAAATCAATACTTATTTTTAAAAAACCATTAAAAATAATTTTCAGAGAATCAAATCTACTTTTTTTTTTTTTTGAAAAAAAATATATTTTATTGATTTTTTACAGAGAGGAAGGGAGATAGCTAGAAACGTCGATGAGAGAGAAACATGGACCAGCTAGCTGCCTCTTGCACACCCCTGACCAGGGATGTGCCCGCAACCAACGTACATGTCCTTGACCGGAATCGAACCTGGGACCTTTCAGTCCGCAGACCGACGCTCTACTGCTGAGCCAAACCGGTTTCGGCCAGTCAAATCTACTTCTTAAAGTTCAGAACCTACCACTTAAATTTGTGAGTTTTTTATTTATAAAACATTAACTAATAATTTTCCCTATCATAAGTGTTATATTTTTAGATACCAAGAGCCAATATTTTTGAGAAATAAAACCAAAGACTATTTTGAAAGAATATGTCAAGTTCTTCTGTTTCTTCTGTGTGTGTAGTAAAGCTACTTAAGAATGAAAGTGGCAATTCTGCTTACACTCTACCATTGATGGAGATGGTCTACATGACGAGTGCAGAGCAGAAAACTCAGAGAATTCAATCTGTGCTTCACAAGTTCAAATGACAAGCTTACCTTATGTTCACCTCTGTACCAGTTACTACTGGAACCACCTTTTACTTTTTGATCACCAGAGTTGTTATATTGGAAGTTGAAAAGCCAAAACATTTAAATATATTAATTGTTAAAAACAACAAAAGAAGAGTTTAAAGAATATATTTGAACCACATAAACAAAAAGGTATTACATAAGAAAAAAATAATGTAACAATTTATGTAAGTACCTAACATATGATAAGCATGCTCTTACATCTAAAACGAAAAAGGTAACATTGATACTATATATATATATTTGACAAGTGTGCATTAAAGAATTCTCTAATATAAAACATTTAAAATGTGGAGGATACTTTTTCAAGATACAGAAACAATTGATAAGATAGACACACCCACAATTCTTATAAAAACATGCTGGCGGAAGATAAAGTTCATCTGAGCACTCACTTCTCAGATGTGCAAAAGCTATGAAGTTGTTAATCACTGGATATTGGCTCCCACTTTGCACGGTTTAAGTTTCAACACTGATTGGTATGAATTATGAATTACACAATTAATTACTGTTATTTTCAGTGTTTTTGCCAAGGTTCCATACAGAATGCATCTATTTAATATGAATACTTAAAACAGCAACATTATTTATTAATAAAAGTCATTTCCTTTGTTCTTTTTTTTTTTAAAGGCACTATATTTAGAAAATAGTTATTATAGAAAATAGTGCTTTGGAAAATCTGAAACGCTAAATCAATGTGCTCCATCAACCATAAGTAGATCTTAGCCCTAATTGAAAAGAACACAAATGTAAAAAGCTGATAAAATTTAAAGATTATAAAAACTGGTTTATTGTAAAAGCATTTCAAGAATACCCAGTTAAAAATCTTATCCCAATGTTACCCATAATAACCAAGAAGCAGTTAAACACTTTTACACTAGGAACAAGGACATAAAACAAGAAAGACCATTCTGAGTCTGTGAAAGAGAAAGGACTCAGGTCTCCCTCAGGTCAGTACAGAGGGAGACAAGGTCAGAGTACTGTGCCTGTCTCGGACCACAGTGCTGCCACGACATTGAGGTATCACTGGGCAAATGAAAGTCGAGGGGAAATGAAGAACTCCATAGTCTCATTTTTGTGGGTGTGCTTAATTGATTGAAATTTTAGGAATAGCTGCCTTCAATGACAGCAAGATGCAAGATACAGTCCTTATTGAAGAAAAGGTTATAAAGTTCTCTATCAAAGTCCCACTAAGTCTTCACAACCCCCTCCCGCCCCTCCCTTACCTAGAGCTACTCTGCTGATATATACGATATGATCTTGACTTGCCGCTTACTGGCAAACTGTAGGCACTCCTTCCAAATAGCTTTATTTTCTACACGTTAAAAACCCAACATGCTATATCATCCATATACTCAATTATGCATTCTAAGTACAATTTCATTATTGCTCTAAAAAAAAAATCAATGTATCTGCACAGTGGCCACTTTCCCCCAGATTTATTTCAAGATTTAATCTTTCTGGTGTTTTCTTAATAAAAAGCCTTACAGTCAATTATTATGAGTGATTGACCTATTAATCCTTATACACAACATAGAGATTGCATTGTTTTTGAGCACTGAAAATACTTAATATGAAACTTTACTTCCAACTTTTGTACTTCTCTAAACTGAAGGGTCAAAATACTTAAGATTTTGTAATTAGAAAAAAAAAAATCTATCTTCCTAAGCTGAGGTTTTCATAACAGGTTTGGCCAGGAAAAGAGATTTTATGAATGTTATAAACCCTTGAAAATAAGGGTTACTCTAGGAACACTGAAAGACCCTTAGTCACAGAGGTGTTAGCTGATGCCACTATAACTCATACCCAGCTATTCCTTCATAGCTGATACTGAAGAGTGGATGCACGCTCATCTTTTTCCTTTAAAAAATACTCTTTGGAAACCATTATTACTCCTGTAGACACATACTCTAGTAATATCTCTTCCTGTAAAAATAAAAGTATACTCATGATTATCACTATTTCTTTGCTAAAGTCAACTACCAATATACATTTATTAATCTGACTACTTTATCAGCTAACGCATGACCGTACAGTATTATACTGTCCAGGGTCAATTCTCAGTATACAGAAGTAGGAGCAAGTCTTATATGAATAGTCTTGTAGGCAATATTTCGATGTAGTTAATGATCATTAACAAAAGGACAACTAAAATAACTAGAATTTACTTCCAAAACTAAGGTAAAGGTGAAACTTCCAAAACTACAGGCAGGGGCATGACCACATAAAGCTTACTTCTGTCATGTACATTATGAACCTACTCAGTGATTGCCCATCAAGACTTAAAATTAGTTCAAGGGAGAAAGAAGGGGAAAATACAGACATTTCCTGTTTGCTACTTTCAAATTCATCAGATAATATCCACAACAACAGCCTTTCTAGAACATGAAACTTCCTCAAACATCTGTAGACTGCCCCAACCAGACTATCAGTCATGTATTCTAAATGCATAGATTCAAAACTACCACTTTAAAATAAATTGGAAAGTAGGGAAACCTAAAAAAAAACCACAAACAATACATTCTGCTATCACACTATCATATAAAATTATGTGTGTAAGGGTGTGTGTGTATGTGTATATGTGTGTGTGTATGACATCATTAAGGATGTCAGAACTCAGAGCTTCCTGCAGACTTGGCATCAATTCCTCTCCTTCTATGTTCATTCCATCTCCCTCCAGTGTTCCAAGGTCCACATTTGTCCCAGGAATGGCTTCAAGGTAGTCTGGAAAACTACCTTGAACACACACACACACACACACACATATATATATGGAGAGAGCAGATAATCAAGATTTAAATAAAAATGTAAAAAATCAGGAAATGTAGATGTAGATTTTACCAAAGAAACTATAATAACCATCCCAGCTACAACTATAAACAGATTCACTACTATGGTCATTTGCCTCGGTTCCAGAAAAAAAAAACACACCCACAAAAACAAAAAAACAAACAAAACAAAAACAAAAACCCAATCAACCAAAACAAAACGAACCCACAATAAAACCCACCAAAACCTATACTAGAGTATGTGGCAATAATTAATATATTTCTATGGAAATTGTCTCATGCCTCATAAGCTCCTAAAATAAAATCAAAGTCAGTAAGTGACTAATGATATAGCACGAGGAGGAAAAAACAAACAAACAAAAAAAAAAACCACTGAAAGTAAAACAGTCTTCAGCCTTGGTTTCAGCTATCTCTCCAAATCATCATTAAGTACTTACTATCAGACACAACATATTTGGTTTATCAGACCAGTAAGCCATGTTTTTCCACTGGCCAAAAGCAGCTGAAGAAATAATTGCTTAAACAAACTAAATGTGGTGACATGAAGCATCTGACTTCCAGGTCTGTCTATTTAGTTAAAATAATTGGTGAACATCTAACTGGGCAAAAGGAATAGCATCCATCATCAAAACAGGCTCATTTCCCCTAGCCCCCAAAACAAACAGTAGTTATAATAGCAAAAGAAACAAAAAGTTTTGTGGCTTTGATTCTTTAGGGCCAACTATGAAAGAGGTCAGCAATATAGTAACAGCAGCAATGGACAAGGAAGAGCAAAATAGTGGATGAAAGAATCTTGCTGGACGTTTGTTCATCTTTTTCTGTATTAGCCAGGAGATCGCAACTGGCTTATTTGGAAATTTCTGGTATGTGTGTCTTATCTCCTTAGATCCTTCACAGATTTAGAATTCAGTCTACCTGAGGGCTCTATAACCATGTAAGGAAGCTTTCTTTATCTAGCTTGGTGGCAGCCAACACGGACTCCATGTCATTAAGGATGTCAGAACTCAGAGCTTCCTGCAGACTTGGCATCAATTCCTCTCCTTCTATGTTCATTCCATCTCCCTCCAGTGTTCCAAGGTCCACATTTGTCCCAGGAATGGCTTCAAGGTAGTCTGGAAAACGATTCTGTTGTGAGGGCAGCGTGCTTTGGTTGATAGTATCACCTAGTTGGAACCGAGAAAGAGACAGAATAAGGTTCTTGTGGAAAAGAACAGAGCTGTATCATGTGAGAACAATCAGAAATGCGTAAAGAAAAGTACTCCTGACTGACCTGAAATGATGCACAGCTTATTTTAGACCAAACAACTCATAAATAACAATGCCAAGGTTACCTCTGCTTCAACATTTGTCCACATATTTAACCAACAATTTGACTGCTTGCGTATCATTATGTGCTGAGCGCTAAAGGAGGGGGAGGGCTAAAATAAAAGTAAAAATCCCCTGAAAAATTATATACAGCAAGGTAGAGGGAGCAGGCACACCACACAAGAGCGTTACCGCCTGATTCTCTTCCAGACATGAACACCAGCGTTAAGAGGAAATAGGAAAAAATGATATAGTCCCATCTTTCCCTAAATACACTTTGGGAAACACTAAAATAAAGGACTGGATGAAAACTCTATTCCACTCTTGGAGATTCACATTTCATAATACAGCAAAGCAAGTCTCCCAAGAAGTCCTTGAATAAATAAATCCTCCTTGCTTTGCTTCTGGTTTCCCAAATTTGCCTGGCTACAAAGCCCTTTTTGGGGGCACATGACTAAGTTAACATTCCTTAGAGGTCCAATTTTCAGAAAAATTAATATGAACCATTAAGTGCTATAGTGATTTGGAGAAAAGACAAACTGGGAACAGGAGTAAGGAAATGTGTTTGAATGAGACGGGTCTGAAGTGACTCCTAAGGATGACTGAAGATTTAGATAAGCCGAGACAAAGGGGGACAGGGGATTCTAGGAAGCATCACAGCCATGAGCTGCGCGAGCACAGGCTTTTACAAAAGACTTGCCAAACACTGTCAGCTGAGAACCCGCTAGCTGAGAATGGCTGCACGTTCCTGCCAATTCCTGCCCTCTGACAGCTGCCAAGTCCAGGGCAACCATGTGAGCCACAGGAGAAAGGGTTCCTCAATGACTCTGGGAGGCAGGTATTTCTCAGCACCTGCAAGACTCCTGTAACTGTTCTAAAAATAAAGCAGGCGAACCCCATCACCAAGCCTTCCCCACTTGGTTTCCTGAGCCCCGTAACATCTAAGTTGGACCAAAGCCCTCAGAGAAAAGAGGGAGGCAGACACTGAATCACATATAGAAATCTCTCTCCAAAATTACGACTATAAATCTCTATTAATAGAGAATTCTAATAAGGTCCTGATTTCCCCTGCCAACTATTCACTACTTTAAATGCTAAAATAAGCCATGTCTTTGCCCGAGCAGGTTTAGCTCATCGGATAGAGCGTTGGCCTGCAGACCGAACGGTCTGGGTTTCAATTCGGGTCAAGGGCACCTTCCTCAGTTGCAGGCCCCTCACCGGGCTGAGCTCTGGTCAGGCCTTGTGTAGGAGGCAACCAATCAATGTGCTTCTTTCACATCGATGTTTCTCTCCATCTTTCCCTCTCTCTAAAAACCAATGTAAAAATATCCTCAGGTAAGGATTAAAAAATAAATCAAGTAAGTCATTCCTCATTTTGTTCAAATAGAGCTAAGATTCCATCACATTTAAAAACTGAGAAAAGGCTTAAATTACAGATTACCATAAAAGAAGGCACAATTTGAAGTTGATAGAACTTTCATGGCTTCTTCTGAATAATCGTTGCTCACCGTTTATTAGCCCTGATAAAACGATGGTACTTGCCTGACAGTCACTTCCTCAGTGGGATATGGAATACCAACCTGTATCCATTTCATCAACACTGTTCAAGAAGTCATCCGGGGTTCGAGGGACACTGTAGCTGCTCATGCTCAGTCCGCTGTCTGTACTCTCATCTCGAGAGTGATAGGTGCCACTACAAAGAGAAATAAAAAAACAAAAATGATTTCAAGTAAAAATGAACACCTCCTGAGCACTAGCAGGATTCTCAAAGAGGATTAGTGAGAATGAAACCAGCTACCTCCCTTCAGGGCCCATGCACAGCCCTTGGTCTGTGCAGTGAAAGGGAAAAGGTCATCCTAATCGAAGCTGCAGCTCTAAGGGGCCAGGGTTTCTCTTAAATGTCTGGGCCAGATGGTTCCAGGGAATAAAAAAGATCTATTCAGTTCCCAGCTGACAAAAATTCCCTGACTAGGTCTTCTCGCTGTAATCCCATTTTGAATTTGGGAGATCCACATACTTATTTCAAGGTCTCCATTCCCCAAGTGGTGGAGGCACAGGTGTAGGTGGCAACACAGACTTTATGTGGGCAGTGAGACATGTCTGCTCTAGAATCACATTAAACTCCCAGCTCTTCTGCGGAGAGCTTAAGCCAAGGGGGGAAATCAATGCAAAAATAAAGAAGCAGAATTCCTGTTGGGACTAGGCCATGACAGATAAGCCACTGCCGATTTGATAAGAACTCCCGTAGCTTGATCTTCTTGCTTCTGTTTAGAGGGGAAAACCCAAACGCCTCAGAAGCTAGTGGCTCTGCAGACAGCAGCTGGCATTGACTGTAAAATATGGGGTTCTACCAATTCTAGGAAATTCTATGGCAAAGTGTGAAATATAGGCAACTGTTGTCCATGGGTCTGTGACCATGATGTAAACTTTAACTTACCTCACATCTTGGACATGTAAACAGCTATTTAGTTTACATAAATGTTAAAAAGCAAAAACAGTCCTAGACGGTTTGGCTCAGTGGATAGATGATCTGTGGACCAATGGGTCCCGGGTTTGATTCCGGTCAAGGGCACGTACCTCAGTTGCAGGCTCCTCCCTGGCCTGGGCCCTGGTTGGGGCTCATGCAGGAGGCAACCAATTGATGTGTTTCTCTCACATCCATGTTTCTCTCTTCCACTCTCTCTAAAAGTCAATGGAAAAATATCCTTGGATGAGGATTAACAAAAACAAGCCAACAAACAAAAACAACTAAGCTTTATAAAGGAGCTTAAATAGTTGCTCAAGGTTGAAAGCTCGGTTCCCCCAAATTTCTTCCCCTCGCTCTGTATATTGCGACCACTAGTTTGCTCTAACGCTTCTGTCAGATTTCAGCAAGATTCAAAAGCCTCACACAGACGCAAGAAAACACAATTTTGCCTCCAAGACCATTTGTATACAATGCAGACGCATAGGAGAAGGCCTTAGGATGTGGTTTGTTTTTATTTTGCCCGCCCTGATCCAGGACAAGGCCTGGTCCTAGTTGTCACTGTTCCCACTGCTAAACATGGGCACACACTAAACTCTCCGGACTCTGCTACGGAGCAGCTGGACTTACAGAGTGGTGCAGCTCTCTCCAAGCCACAGGGAAGCACATGGCATTCTGGAGGACGGAGTTACAGAGCCACTTCCCTCACAAGGAGGTGCCTGCTCCCTGCACAACCCCATCACCATGCCATAAACACACATGAGCATCTGCTACTACAGCAGGCATTAGACTAGGCTCGGAGGTTAAAAGCAATGACCATCAACACCGGTGCTTTCTGAGACGCTCATACCTCAGGGTGGGAGATGAGCAAATAAAAGCAGGAATGAATCACACAAAGGGCTATGTGAGCACAGTGGCTTTTAGAACAAAAAGGAGGGAGCTTAAAAAGTACAGAGGGAAGGTTTTGTGGACAGGACACCAGAGAGGGCCCTGAAGGCTCTCAGGGTAAAAGGGAGGTAAAGGGATGTTGCACCATTGCTAAGAGTCAGCTCCTTGGCAAGTTAGGGAAGTGATAAGAGCTTAAGAAATCTGTATGAACTGAGTAACAGGCAATGGGGAAACCACCCTGTTTGTGGAAGAGAAATGGTGTAGTCAGATGCGTGTTTTAGAAATGGGGGTAGAGGCACTATAGAGAGTGGACACAGCATTTTGCCTTTGGACTAATATCACTGATGATCTGCCACTCTGAGATCTGTACCAGAAATTACAATCTCCAACCGCAGCCCAGCTTTCGGAGGTTGTAAGAAAGAATCTTCACCAGTGACTAAGAAAGTTATACATTCTGTCCCTTTTTCTAAATAGCCTAATTTTATCCCTGGATCAATACAGGCCTTCAATAGATGGGTTCTGGAATTATATTGATCTGAACTTCCCCTTATGGAGGGAACAAAAATTCTGTGGCTATGACCTTTCTTAACTAACTTCAGTTGAAGTTCAGAACTATAGTCTTATATAAATACACTCAGTTTTTGGCAGAACTTTAAACTGTATGTGTCAACGTGAGGTTAAAATACTGCTGAATGAGGTGAATGTTTTGTTACATAACTAGCACATTAAATTCCTGTATATTTCATGTAGGCCTGTACTATATTTAGCATAGTCTTTTTACCCATGCTTTGTATCCCACCCCACCTTCCCTGAAATTAAATTTACTTAATAAACTCCCCCAAAATAAAATAAAGTAAAATAGACTATATGTTGTCAAAAGAGCAAAGTTTGTTTTTCTTAAAATCATAATGTTTTCAACTCAGTTGGTGAGAACTGAATGAGTAGCATAATAGCTTTCCTAAACTAAGGGACCTGTAAGTCTCTTAAAACTTGTGTTTAAAATAAGTTAAAAAAAAAAAAAATCAAAAGCACAAAGACCAGAAAGTATTTGTTCCTTAATTTAAAAAACTGAAACTCTAAATTACCTTATAACTTAAAAGAATGAACTCTAGTCCAACCTTAATTTTAAATGGTTTTCTAGGCAACGAATACAATCTTGTTTCTGCTTGCAGTTTTTGACTCGGCTCTATACATAACATCGAAGGCTTCCTTCGACTGCATTTCAAATGCTGCCTCAAATATTAATGCATTTTTTAAAAGCACAATTTATCTCCTTTATGAGCACAAGGCCTTGCTGTGCTGCTGCATGAAGCACTCAGGGTGAACACTTATGTGGAAAATTCCTTCCCATCTTCCTTCTAGTGCAGCCTACAGCCTTAAGCAGGTTTAAGATGCAGTTCATTTGCTTTCATAGAAAGGCATTCACATGTTTCCCCACGATTCTGTAATTTTAAGTAAGGGTTAGTCAACAGTATAGGCAGGAACAACACGTGACTGTGAATTAAGTATCCTCTCTGCAAGTCCGAACAGCTCACTTCCTCTGCCAGGAGCCAGCTTTTAATCCTCGTTTTATTGTACCTGCCATTTATGGGAAGATTCCTTTACAGCTATGATTTTTGGCCCACACAGACGTTCAAACAGCTTATTACAGGCTCTAAGGAGAATAATCTCAAAGCTGTGATCTTTCTCAGACACTGGCCAGTAGCCACTCTCACCAACCTGTTGAGAAAGGGATCAGAGCTATTGGTCGTCATTGTTCTCAGTTCCTGAGACATCCCAGGAGAAGACACGGGGTTCGGAGTCCCGCCATCTGGCTCCAGAGTCGGTAGCTGGCTCCTGAGAGCTAATTCCTAGAAAAAACAAACACACACATAATCAGTCTACAGATGAACAAACTTATTGTCAGGTTAAAACAATACAATGCACATTAGGGGACCATGTGCATGTAAACTGAACTATTAACATCTACTTTAAAGTAAGGTTCCCAGTCAGAAAGACCAAGTTCTTCTATCCATTTCAGATGATTAAAAATTAAATCATATAAATGGAAAGATTTTCTAGTCTTATTACCCCCAAAACATATGTACCTTATTACCCAATTTCACCGTTATTTTCCTTACTTTGGCAGACACCCCTCAACCCTTCCTTGGGGTAGGATGGCAAATCTGGTCTTTTAAAATACCTTTCTTAAAATACATTCTTCTTAATGTGCATTTTTACTCATCCACCTTCAATATGGTTTTTGTGTGTTTGGCATCAGTAACCAAAACAAAGTCAGAAGAATGCTGTACTGTTTTACACTCTGTATCAGGTCTCTCTCTTTTTTACTTTTCTGTTAATCCTCACCTGGGGATATTTTTCCACTGGTTTTTACAGAGAGTGGGGGGAGGGGTAGAGACAGAGAGAGAAACATGATGTGAGAGAGACACATGGACTGGTTGTCTTCTACACTCGCCAGGGATCAAGCCCGCAACCCAGGTCCGTGCCCTTGACCGGAATCGAACCCGGTATCCACGGAGCCAAACCAGCTGGGGCTAGGTGTCTCACTGCGACTTCAGGTCTTTCTGTCTTGAACAGGGGCACCAAACAACAGGATGCCGCCCGGAAACTTGAGCCAAAGCCATGGGCCACCACCTCCCTGACGGCTCCAGGCCTGCCCCAACAGGCCTCACATATCCCAGCCTCTGCCAGGACCTGGGGCTGGTTCACTGCTGCTCTGTCCTTCTCTCACTTGTTGGTTCACTGCTCCCTTCCTTCAGTTTCCACGGTGCCTCCCAAGCTGTATAAACATTATCTCTGGAGAGTTAGCTTTCTCTCCCTTCAACTTTTTTGTTTTGGCTTGAAGTGTGGCTTTTTATCACAAAGGACCTGCTCTCCCCGGCAGCCTTCCTGGGCTCAGAGCCGAGCCTGCACGGAAGCACTGCCCACTGAGCCCCTGCCCAGCACCTCCAGCCCCGCACACCCCCCGTTGTCACTGGGTCCTGAGGTGGTGGAGATGTTCTTATAACTATCGTGCGCTAACCGACTGCGCCACTGGAGCTCCGGGCAGAGATATTCTGAGCTCTGCACCATCACTTCTCAACTATGAATTCTTCCTCATGCAAAAACCACCTTTTTAAATTCAGGTTTATGCCTTTTGTGATATAGCATTCCTCAAAATGGTTTTCTTAACCACAGAATCATGACAGAATAAAGAGGGCCTATGAACTTGGATGGAGGAAAGAAAATTACGCATTTTCACTAACTTCTGACTGAAACATAGTATTTCCTTTAATTACAAATATAGGCAACAGACAATAATATTTAGCGTATCGTCTTTTCATCAATAGAAGGCATTTTCATATTACACTGTAGTGTGTCAAGTATGTTAAAATGCCATTCACCTCATCACCGTTTCAATGCTCTGGCAGATACAGAGACACAACGCTCTACCACCAGGCGGATGACTCACTCACTCAACATGACAGCTCCTTGACCTTCGGATTTCAATGATCACCATTGCCACCGATCTCAGTCATCCACTTGCACAGCTAAGACCTTGCTATTTAAATGAAGCCTGCCTCTAAAACCTTCAGTCATGTTTGTTCACTTCACTGCAACTGCATCAGTCACCCCAGACTTGTCAACATCTGTGCACAAAACCTAGATCCCTATCATGGACTTTTCTGGGCCTCTAAATTGCAGTGCTACTGACCCCCTTCACCATTATTCATTCAACTCCATCCCCTCCGGCCATGCCCTGGAACTGGCTTAGAAACCCCACCCCACTCCTCTGGGGAAACCTTACATGCACTCATCCCACTCACTGGGACCATGCTTTTTCTTTTCGCCCAGTTCCCGCATGATGTGGTTCCTACTCTACCAGAGCTACAGAACTATGACCTCAGGACTCCAGTTCCTTCTCTCTACCACTATTCAAGGGTACTGGCTCCCTTTCAGTATTTTATTTTATTTTCCTTTAAAAAAAAAAAAAAACTGAGGCCGGGACCGGTTTGGCTCACTGGATAGATAGAGCTTGGAGACTGAAGGGCCCCGGGTTTGATTCCGGTCAAGGGCATGTACCTTGGTTGCGGGCATATCTCCAGTAGGGGGTGTGCAAGAGGCAACTGATCAATGACTCTCTCTCATTGATGTTTCGAACTCTCTATCTCTCTCCCTTCCACTCTGTACAAAAATCAATAAAATATATTTTTAAAAAAACCCAAAAAACAAAAAAACTGATATAATTGACATATCACATTGTATTAGTTTCAGGTGTAAACATGATGATACAGTTTTTGTTTACACTATGAAATAATCACCACAGTAAGTCTAGTTACCAGCCATCCCCATACATAATTACCAATATTTATTTTTCTTGTGATGAAGACTTTTAAATATAGTTTAATTGATTTCAGAGAGACAGAAACATCAGTGAGAGAATCATTGATTGGCTGCCTCCTGCACGCCCCACCCTGAGGATTGAGTCTGTCACCCAGGCATGTGCCCTGACTGGGAATTAAACCATAACCTCCGGGTTCATAGGCTGCCCCTCAACCACTGAGCCACACCAGCTGGGCATAATGAGGATTTGTAAGATTTACTCTTAGTAACTTTCAAACTTATAATACATATTATTAACCATAATCACCATGCTGTACGTTATACCCCCACAACTTATTTTAAAACCAGAATCTTGGCTCTAGTAGGTTTGGCTCAGTAGACAGAGCATTGGCCTGCAGACCGAAGGGTCCGGAACGATTCTGGTCAGGCGCACACACTTTGGTTGCTGGCTTGATCCCTGGCCCTGGCTGGGCAATGCGGGAGACAACCAATTGCTATCTCTCTCTCACATCAATGTTTCTCTCTGCCTCTCCCCCCGCTCCCCTCTTTCACTCTCTCTAAAAAAAATCAATGGAAAAACATTCTTGGGTGAGGATTAAAAAATATATATTAAAAACATACTATAATTTTGTACCTTTGGATTCCTTTTACACAGTTAACCCATCCCCCACCCCACTCCTCTGGCAAGCACCAATCTGTTTCCTTAATCTATAAATTTGGTGTTTTTTTTTTTTTTTTCTAGATTCTACTTATAGGTTTACTTATTAGATTTAATAGTATTTGGCTTTCTGACTTATTTCACTTAGCATAATGCTATCAAGATCCATCCATGATGTCATAAATGGAAAGACTCTATTCTTTTTTTTTATGAATGAACTAGACGTCCCATGCATGAAATTTGTGCACGGGGTGTGTGTGTGTGTGTGTGTGTGTGTGCGCGCACGCGTGCGCGTGTCTCAGCCCAGCCTGCACTCTCTCCAATTTGGGACAGCCCTTTCACAATCCAGGACTGCTGGCTCCCAACTGCTTGCCTGCCTGCCTGATTGCCCCTAACCACTTCCCTGCCAGCCTGATTTGATACCTAACTGCTCCCCTGCTGGCCTGGTCCTCCCCTCCCCCAACTGCTCTTCCCTGCAGGCTGGGGTCTCCCCCAACTCCCTTCCCTGCAGGCCCGGTCAACTCCAACTTCACTCCTCTGCCTGCCTGATCACCCTTAATTGCTCTCCCCTGCAGGCCTAGTCTCTCCCAACTGCCCCCCCCTGCTGGCCATCTTGTGTCCACATGGAGACAGCCATTTTGTGTTGGAGTGATGGTCAATTTGCATATTACTCTTATTAGATAGGACAGAGGCCTGGTGCAGGGTGGGGGCCAGCTAATTTGCTCTGAAGGGTGTCCCAGATCAGGGTAGGGGTTCCCTTGGGGGGGGGGGGGGGGCGCGGCCTGGGCAAGGGGCCTGTGGTGGTTTGCAGGCCGGCCATGTCCCCTGGCGACCCAAGTGAGGTTCTGGGATGTGGGATTTATTTATCTTCTATAATTGAAACTTTGTAGCCTTGAGCAGAGGCCATGGCGGGTGGGAAGCTTGTCTTCCTCCATCGCCAGGGGAAACCCAAGCCTCCTGCTTGCTCCAGCTCTGTGGCTGGCCACTATCTTGGTTGGGTTAATTTGCATACTTGCTCCTGATTATGGTGGGCACGGCTTGGTGTAGCGGAGTGATGGTTAATTTGCATGTTACTCTTTTATTCATGGAGATAGTATTCTATTGTACACATACATATACCACATCTTTATTCTTGGATAGACACTTAGGTTGTTTCCATATCCTGGCTATTATGAATAATGCTGCAATGAACATGAGGGTGCAAATTACTAATTATTTCTTGAATTTATTGAGGTGATATTGGTTAATAAAATTATGTAGGCCACTTTGCTTGTTCAAAACTGTCAAAGCTTTACTTTCTGCTGCCTTTAACAACCAAATTTCTGTTGTCAGCAGACAATGCAGAACCAACTTACCCAAATTTACCAAGAAAGGTAATTTAGAGATGCAAATAAGAAGGGAAAGTATTCCAAGTTGCCTAACAAGATATCCAATTCCCTGAAGGGCTATGGAATATACTTTTCATCAAATCTATACTTGAGCCGTGCATGACTAAGAGTAACTAACCTAGGGATTCATCTGTACTGAACTTGAAAGGCTCAAGGAAAAAATGCCACTTTATTTTACTGGTGGTGGTAGGAGGGTTTTAGCATCATCAATCAAAACAGGGAACAATTTGGCATGCAAACAAATACAGCGTTAAAAGGCCAATGATAAAAAATTAATATATACAGATTATAAAAACCATATTTCAAAGTATAAATATTCAACTCACTTTTGACACTTCTACTTTACAGCAAAAAGTGTTGATTAGATTGCCTTTAGCAATTTTCTGAACAGCTGGAGGTATAAATTGATGTATAATAACTTACACACTTTACCCCAAAAAGATACATTCTTACATAGCTCAGTATTTGCTAACAACAAAAT